GGGTGGCAATTTTGCAACAGAAAAGCTTCAAAAACAGACTCCAACGAGAAACTGCTGAGCTGGAATTGATATGCAAACTAGATACAATCAACTTAGGCTTGAATAGGGACTGGGAATGGCTGAGTCATTACAAACATTGAATCTGTCTCCCCTTGTAAGTATTCTCACACTTCTTATCAAACTGTCTGTACTGGGCTATCTTGATTATCACTTCAAAAGTTTTTTTTCTCTTACTTAATTGGCCTCTCAGAGTTGGTAAGACAACTCCCACCTTTTCATGCTCTCTGTATGTGTATATATATCTCCTCAATATATGTTCCATTCATGCATCCAAAGAAGTGGGCTGTAGCCCATGAAAGCTTATGCTCAAATAAATTTGTTAGTCTCTAAGGTGCCACAAGTACTCCTGTTCTTTAAACCAGTTCTAACTGCTGGTCCCTGCTGTATATTAGCCAGTGGGGCTGCTGTATGAGCTATACAGCTAGCAAGCCCCTTTCCCACCGAGATTGTGTACCACTACAAGACTGTCAGATTCAGTGATTTATGAAAGGAAACCAGCAGGTCTGATCCCAAGCCTACTTCATTCACCTGGCAGAATCACTGTTGTTCCAAGTTTGTGGTCAGGTGAAGTAATGTTTTAAGGAAACAAAAAGGAAAGCATTAATATCTGTCTGGAAACTGCTGGTCAGTTTCAGCTGTTGTTCAGGGAACAGGTTTTTCAATGGCTGATTCAGAATATTTAATTTATGGACAGTGTGTAATGGAGAAAATGGAGTTATAATAATTTTACTGTGAATACTTCTCAGAGACATCGCTTTCTTTTGATTTGATTTTGAACTTCAAGTTAAAGCCGTTCTGTAGTTTAAATGTAGTTTTTGTTTGTGCTATCTTGACAGTGGAAGGTGCATGGGGCTCTTGGCTGCCATGGGGACCTTGCAGTGATACTTGTGGGAAAGGTACTCAGACCAGACTGAGGCTGTGCAATAGCCCTCCCCCATCATTTGATGGGTCATATTGTGAGGGGCCTGATACACAGATGCAGGTCTGCAACAAGAGACACTGTCCAGGTAAGAAGCATAAGATACAAACAGAAAATAAAGGACTAGCCTATTTGTTTCCTCCCACAACTCTACCTAGTTTGTACTTAGAGCTAGTATAACTGCTCCATTTGTGGTGGCAAATACTGCAATCCCTGAGAAAATCAGAATTTAGTTCCTTGTTCCTACTCAACATTCACTATGAAAAGCGTTAACAGTCGTAACATATGGAACTAGCCCTTCCCTCCCAATCCTGCTCTTCCCTATGTTTCCATTCCTGTTGCTTGCCATTGTGGAAAAGTAGTATGTAAATCCTTGGCAGCTAAGCATGTAATTTCTGCAGATCTTCCCACCAGGTCTAACTACCCTTTGTTATTCATTAATCTTCCACATCTATACGTGGACAGGAAAGGTTCAATTTTCAAAACACTCCCTTAATATAAGTTCAATACAGGGTAATTGGGTGAAATGGTCTGTGATATCCAGGAGGTTAGACTACATGATCTAATTGTCCCTTCTGGCCTTAAATGCTATGAATCTTGAATACACACAGTGCCATGTCCTATGCTAAATCCCTATTCTACCCTCTTAGTGGTGAAAAGGAGACTTGAAGCTGTACTAATTGAGTAGCTGAGGATTCCCTTTGGGTGACTCAGCACCTCCACTGACTGACTGCTACTGACCATCTTATTGTGTTGGTGATTTCAGTTATTACGTATCCTACTTGTTTGACCTACTTATAGGCACACAAGAATTTTGGGAAGTCACTGTGGATGGACAGTCATTGCAACTATTACGCTAACAGGTGGATTTTAATTTAAGTAAAAAAGTAATGGGCCAGATCCTGTTCTGGGTTACACTCCTTGCAGTCCTATTGTAGTTCAAGGGGTTGCACGGATTGTCACTCAGCACAACACTTAGTGCAGTATTTTGCTGATACAATTATGCTAGATTTGATGATTTAAAAAGTGAAAGTTTCATTGTACAATGTCATCAATTTTTAACCAGTGGATGGAAAGTGGGCTGCTTGGGCCAGCTGGAGTGCCTGTACTGTATCCTGTGGAGGAGGTACCAGGCAGAGGACAAAGGACTGCTCAGACCCAGCCCCTCAGTTTGGAGGGCACAAATGTGAAGGAAATGACATACAGATTGACTTTTGCAACAGTGACCCTTGCCCCAGTAAGTGTTTGGGATGACTGTGGGTTAGATTGTGCCTCCCTGCACAGGGTTCTCAAAGGGTGTATATGGTAATAGGGGGAAATGGAAAGAGCCTTCTTTCTCACCTTGTGCCCTTGCACAGGGCACTGACTCAATCCTGCTCCAAGCAATGAAAAGTGGGATTTGAACATCAGAAGCTGCACTAGACTCCCCAAAGGAGGAGGGATGAGAGGAAATCCATATCCCTAACCAGCCTCTTCATCAGTCAGCATAGTTGCACCATTGCATAGGCCAGGAGTTGGGGAGTAAGCACTGCTAAATGACATAGCAGTAGTAACTGTTGTATGAGCTCCTGCAGCAACATTAGAAGCAGTGTGCTTCCATGAGCTGCAGGCAGTATCTGTAAGTCACAATCTTGCTATTTTACACCCACCATCAGTGTAATCTCCTTTTTCAGTACCTCTCTCCATTAGATATTTGACTTATATGCTGCATGCTTTCCTAAAGTAGTAAAGCACTGAACTACAGGGCTCAAGGGACCATTAATATACTCGGTGGAATAGCCCTGCAGTGGAAAAAAATGACTTAATTGGATGCTTAACTTTCGCATTTTTTAGCTAAAAGAGCAGTAAACTTGGAATTGTGTGAAAAATTTCTCTTCAGAAAATATATTTTCTGGTTTAACTGTTCGTTGATTCCATATCTGCTGCCATTAAGCAGAGTGTATGTAAAGACTTTTATTTAAAATTTCCAGTTCATGGCAACTGGGGTCCATGGAATGGTTGGGGAACTTGCAGCCGAACATGCAATGGAGGCCAGATGAGGAGATATCGGACCTGTGACAATCCTCGCCCTGTCAATGGTGGAAGAGCATGTGCAGGGGCTGACACGCAGATACAGAGATGTAACACTGACTTATGCCCTGGTGAGCTTCTATGGTAACAGAAGGCAATAAATAAACCTCCTCTAACGTTCTTCAGAGACCAAAATGTATATACTATGCAAGCAGGAAAGAAAAAAGTTCTGTAATTATGTCCAACTTCGTAGAAAGATCTAATGCAGTCTGACTGGGTTCTTATTAAAAAAATAAAGTGTCTGTCACACTAAAATGATTCTCCCTTTAAGGGATTATATTTTATATAAACCAGGGAAATAACAATCAAAAGACAAGTAGCTTGTGAAAATGAAACCCTTCATACCCCCAACAATTCTTAATTCTCACACTAATGACATTTTACAAAGGATACCAGTGACCTTTTATAATGTATTCCAGGAGCAAAGTCAGTACATCTAATAAAACCGAAACCAAATCTAGATGCTTTCTCCTGGATAGCTAAAACATGTCTTTTTACCAAGCAGCCTTATATGGCCTAATGCTCCTCTTATTTCATCAGTTCTATACCCTGCTCAACCCCACTGAGTTCCATTGAATTACCAGTCAAGCCCCGTGATTTGAAACCTGTTATCAAGTCCATGGGGGTATCTTGGCTCAGATCAGTATTTACAACAATAATCCAGAAATGGATTGGATTCAATTGTGCCATGATTAACAACAGATCTAAAAATATTTGATTTTTATTGATGATTAATGTATTTTCCTTCTGTGTGGCACCCATCTGGTATTGTTTTAGTTTAATTGGTTATAATGATCTCTTTGGTCCATGTGAATGTTAGCACTTGTGAGAAATGCCAGTTCTTGGCCCCACAGGTGGAAGACCCTCTTTTGCTCATTATTCCCCTTCAGTGACCATCAATGTGCTTCATCCCTGACCACCTCTAGGATTAAGAGGGTAGTTCAGTCTCCAAGCCCCGGTCAAATATTTGGAGTTTCTAGTGAGACTGCCAGCAAGGATGACAGTAGATTTTGAATGTGGACACCTGCTCACTAAGATCAGGTCTGAGACCACTAGTTCTTTTTACATAAGGCAACCAAACAGCTGTCAGGTGACAACAGCATTCAGTTGCTACCTAACTGAGCCAGTTTTGAATGGGACTCAGTCTGAGCTCTTCACCTCTGCTCATTAACGTCTTCTATTGTTATAGAGCCAGATCCATGGATTCAGTGTTCAGCTCACAAATGGAGGCTACAAGCAGTCTCTGTCTCCAGCATTCTCTTGGTCTGGGTTGGGAGTCCAGGCAGCAGATTCTCTCGCTGCAACCTGCCTGCACTGCGGCATAAGAGGACTCCCAAATCCAGCCTGTGCCCACTCTTTGCACAGAAGAGTCATGGTGTATTCCACTGGCAGGGGGACTCTGTAGCCATAGAAGTGGTGGCAAGGGCCGCCCCATATTGTGCATATAAATTTCTTGGCTAGTTATGAGGGGTATATTATCTGTATGATGCATGGGGATTTAGTCACATATCTCCCTGCTAAATCCTCATCCATTGCACTGGAAACATTCCCTGAAAAGTCCTCTTTCTTTTGAGTAAGGCTGATATATGGGCATGAACAATCTCAAAGGTATTGTACTTTTTGGGGCAGCAACCCTGCCTACAGAACTATCATTGAAAATGGTATGCCATCCTTGTAGCTGTTTGATTATTTTTAAAGATGTCAGCTTTATCAACGTGGAATTTATATTTGAAGTGTAATTCACTGTTCTGTATGCAGGGCTGGTGCTTCCACTAGGCAACCCTAGGCGGTTGCCTAGGGCGGCAGGATTTGTGGGGGCGGCATTTTGCTGCCCTCAGCGGAAATTCGGCAGCAGGGGGTCCTTCCGCTCCGGGTCTTCGGCGGAAATTCAGCGGCGGGTCCTTAACTCGCTCCGGGACCCGCCACCGAAGTGCCCCGAAGACGCAGAGCGGAAGGACCCCTGCCGCCGAATGCTCAGAGGAGGAGTGCTGCTGCCTAGGGCGGCAAAAACCCTGGTGCCTCTCCTGTCTATATGTAATCTGAAATATCTGCTACAAAAAGCCACTTGTTTCAACGTTCCATCCTTGTTTATAGTGGATGGAAACTGGGGAACATGGCAAGCTTGGATCGGATGCTCTGCTTCTTGTGGAGGAGGGGAGCAGACCCGAACACGACTGTGCACTAATCCAGCCCCCTCAAATGGTGGACGTCCTTGCCCAGGAGACTCTTCACAGCTTTCCAGGTGTAACATCCAAGCATGTCCAGGTATGTTATTGCAGAGACTGAACACCAAAGCAAATGAACCAAAAAACGCCTAGTTTATTATTTATAAATCTTTCAGTAATGAGTAAGCCTGTCCATTCAGCATATCCTTTCTCCAGACATGTCATAGCATTTACATAGAATCTGGTAACCATTCACTGGCAAACTGTAGTCAGCTGAATGCTGTTATATGCTGAAGCATTTGACAGTTTTCAAGAGGAATTTCCAGAGGCACTTTTGATCAATTAAACTCAAAACCCGCAGTGTTTAAAAGGTTTCTGCTCCATGATTGCATTGTTGAAAAAAAAAATACCATGCAACTTAGGCAGCCAGTCATATCACATGAAAAGTGAATAAATAATAGTCACACTGAACAAGGTGTAAAACTGAAAATTGTTCACCTGAGCTATGAAGAAATAAATATATTTGCACAAATGCAGGCTAGTTTCCAAATGGTTCATAAACAGCAAATGGAGCTATGTTTGCAATGGTTAATTCAATCAGCTCTTATCTCTAGTTTAAAAAATAGTGCACAATAGTGAAACGACTTAGAACCACTGTTCTAGATGTATGATATTGTGAGAGTAAATCTGAAAGTGATATGGGAAAATCACTTATGCATCCTCAAAATAAGGGTACTATACTAGTGAAAAGTTCTATTTAATAATATTAATACATTTTAAAAAAATTAGAAAACACGTCTCTCTTTGCCAATATGTTCTGTTTTGTCAGTTGTTGTTTTCTAAAACAGAGTGGGAACACACACAAGTCTTGCTTGACATCTGGTATGACTAATACACTCCAGTGTCCTGGCCAAATAATTACATTCCGCCTGCCTGAATTCCCCAGTAGTTTCAGTTGTTTAGTTGAACTTTCTTACCTGCCGTAACCTGTTGTGTAGCACCAGTTTGCACTGTTCAACAATTGTTGCTTTTTACCCAGAAGTGGCTGCATTTCAGTGGTCCATAAAGTAATCCCTTTGTCATAATTTATACATCAGCTTACATTTAAAAATGGTCCTGGTATCCTTATGGATATGAGGTGCTATGATTATTAATATTATATGAATAAACATTCCATAAAATGTAAGTCCACATGCATATAGAGAACTTTGTGTTCTCTCAGAGCACTCAGTGCTAGTCTTGAATATTTTTCTTTCAAAATTGAGTTTTCACACATGGGGTGTTTTTCCACTTCCCCCAACAGGTGGGCCTCCACGTGCCAGAGGAAGTGTTATTGGAAATATTAATGATGTTGAATTTGGAATTGCTTTCCTGAATTCCACAGTAACAGATAGCCCTGACTCTGACACTAGAATAATACAAGCAAAGATCACAAATGTCCCTCGGAGTCTTGGTAAGTCAGCTTGCTTCCTTGAGTTATAAGTAAACAAAGGAATCTTCCTTAGGTTTGTCAATTTTCAGTTTCCTTTCATTAAGGCACCATCCAAGATTTTAAGGAATTGGCTTCAATTTTTCATAGGCAGGAGGGAGGTGGAGGTCTTCTATTATATTTACATTCTCTTTACATCAAGAGAAAGGAGGAGCACACAAAGGGCATTTTTAAAGAAGTATGGTATTTCTCTTCAGGTACAGCAATGAGGAAGCTAGTTTCCATTCTAAATCCTATTTATTGGGCAGCTGCAAAGGAAATTGGAGAAGCAGTGAATGGATTTACTCTCACCAACGCAATCTTCAAGAGGGAGACTCAAGTGGAGTTTGCAACTGGTTAGTTAACAGTGGGACACAATCTCTATTTGTATGTGACAAGCCTAATACAAGGTTGAATTGCTTAATAAATACACCTCTACCCTGATATAACGCTGTCCTCGGGAGCCAAAAAATCGTACCATGTTATAGGTGAAACTTGCTTTGATCCGCCGTGCGCAGCCCCCCCCCCCAAGTGCTGCTTTACCGCGTTATATCCAAATTCGTGTTATATCGGGTCACGTTATATCGGGGTAGAGGTGTATCATTTACCATAGTTATGTTTGTTCACAGCAGCATGTTCTGGATAACTAGCTGAACATGAGGTTTTATAGCCTCACTTTTCCTAGTTTGAATCTGAGGATTAATATAGGGCAAAGTAGTGGTTAAACACAAGAATGACATGTTAACATAAATTAACATGGTTCAACATGAACCTAATTCAAATACTGTGCAGTTAACATAAATCACAAATCATGATAGGTTACAAATCAATGTGTGTTAAAATTCACAGGAGAGATTTTGCGAATGACTCATATTGCCCGTGGTATGGATTCAGATGGAGCATTACTGCTGGATGTGGTAGTGAGTGGCTATGTTCTGCAGCTACAGTCCTCAGCTGATGTTAGCGTGAAGGTAAAATTGCTAGCAAAAATGACATCTCTGCACTCTTGCTTCAGTTTTATATTTTTCTTATCTGACATATTTTAATACAGCCATCAACAGTAGCATAAGCTATGTTATAGTATTCTGACTTATTTTTATGATTGGCTTGGACATGTGAAGGTAAGTTTTTTATCATGATCAGATCACCCCCTCCTCCAAGATGGGGTGAGGGTTTACTGCTGTCAGGTGGATGGCCTGTTTTATCTTGCGCAAAAGGCTGATTGGCCACGTTAAGTTCTAGACCTTTCTAAGGGTGATGCTAGTCCTCCATTTCGCACAACCCTGGCAAAGTTTTTGTAGAGTATTATTCACAACTTGTTAGCCACGAACACTGACAGTCTGGCATCTATGCATTCCCTACCTTCACAATGTCCTCAAAGGTTTCTGTCACAGGTCATCTGCAAGGATGGAGGCTAGAGCTGTGGCTGCAGAAAACATGCTGTGTCAGGTTGCATAAAATCTCGATGATTTAATCTTTCTATAATGTGGCTGTGGCAGAGGTAAGGAAGACCTTTTTCTGTGCCATAGCATTAATGTCTTGTCCCATGGAGTTGTCCATAATGGTGAGCAGTCTAATTACTCTGACTTGCCTCACTTTTCTTACAGAATCAGCTTTTTCTAAACATGAGGACTTTCCCATACTTTTCCCCCCAAAATGATCAGATACAGACTGGTTTGTCTTGCAGTCTTCAAAGCAAGAGGTTATAATCTCACTGCCTTGTCTGTTAGTTTCATCCTGTTGAAAGAGGTCTACTACTACTCATTGGCTGCACTATTCATGGCTAGTGACAGGGCATTCCACACCTCTGGAACCCCTTCACTCCATCATCCCACAAAAGTCACTATTTAACACTTCAAGTCTTAACTGCTTGATCAAGCCATGGAAGATTTTGCTTGGATTAACAATAGGGATCGAGGGTTTAATTATGTATCATGGATTTGATAACTGTTTTTTATCCTGAAAGAATGTTTTTTTTTAAAAAATTATAAATGTAACATCTGCATGTGCTTGTTGGTGGATAACCAATCCAAATATATAAATATTGGGTATAGTAAATAAGGATATTTTGATTTTTTTGACGTTTTGGAACAATCAATGTGCAGCGCCACCAAATATTTATAAAAGTTTCCTTACTGTGGTGTAATACTTCTGCAGTAAATTGTTTAGTTAGCTTATCGTTTCTAGTAAACTTCCTAGATTATTAAATAATAAATATTGTGTGGTTGCTAGTAGCACTTCAGACCATAAAAGGCCTTGTTATCAAACCAATCAGGACCTTTTATGGTTGTCAGGGTGTGTGTGGGGATGGGAGTTGGAAATATGGTCATACAGCCACCATCATTAAAGTCAGGATCCACCAATTGCTACTAGACTGTGGCATCTCAGTTACTACAGTTATTTCCTTACTAATAATAGGGACATATAGTTGGAGCCATTAAAATTCAACAGTTATAGTAACTGAAGCTAAATAGCCATGTGCCATTTGCAGTACAATTTGTCCAGCTTTTTAAAAAGCACCTTTCTCTAGATACATCTCATGCTATTTAAAAACAAAAAACCTCTTTTGCAGTAAACTAGCTGAGCCAGAGAATCCAGTTGCTGGTACCGAGATCTGGATTTGTGATGTGTATTTCAGGATTACACGGAAGACTATATTCAGACTGGCCCTGGACGACTGTATGCCTACTCTACGCGGCTCTTCACCATAGATGGAATTAGTGTACCATATACATGGAACCACACCATTACCTATGATCACACTCGAGGAAAAATGCCATTCCTGCTGGAAACACTCCGGGCTTCCTCTATTGCAACAGAGTACAACCCACTAGAAGAAACACTAGCTTTTAGAATCCATGCTTCCATTGCAAAAGGTATTGTTTGACTCTTTATTAATGGAAAATTTATCCAATTTAGAGTAAGGCTTACTTCAAAATAAAAAGATAATATGAATGAAGAATACCAGGAGAATAGAATATCCTCCACAGTAGAGTATGATCTTGGAAGAGGAGGCTATTGAGCATTGAGATGTTCAGATTATTTTGGTACACATATACACATGTTGATGGCACATGTTGATGTTGATGTCACTTTCAATTTATTATATAGCTATGTATTTATTTTATACTTCTGATTTCCACTCCTGCACTTCCCCCCCGCCCCCCATCCACTTTTGCTGGGACTACTTATACTCTGAACAGCTTCAAACTGCCATTTTGAAAAACGGAAAGAGAAAAGTTTGGTTAAGAGCCTCTAAATCATTCCTAAAATTGTTTTTCTGTAAAATATTGGAATGTACAGAAAACACAAATGATGTGGTGCAGTATATATAGGCTTTATTGGCTCTTGTTTGGAATTACCTGCATTTTTAAGAGCAGATGTGACAATAGATGGCTAGAAACAAGCCTAGTAAAGCTGGAGAATAGTGACTCATCTGTAGTCCTGGTGGATCATCAGTACAGCCTTTAACCTGTACTGCTCCAGTGCTGGCTGTAGCCCACTCTGTGCTTCAGGCCAAGAGCAGGAAGAGGAGGAGAGGGAACTTTTTCTAGCAGGTTATTTTTTAATGGCAGTTATTTAAAAGCTTCTCAGAGGTTCAGAATATTAGAAATCCTGGTGGAGAGGGATTAATATAGGTAGAGTGCAGGCAACGTAGTAAAAGATGCACGATAAATGCTGGTGATAGTAATACGAGAAACCACACAAAACCTATATAATACAAGAGTGAACGAGAGAGATAAAGTGGCCCATTGCCTTGCACCTTGTATAATCATTTACATCAGTGCAAAGTGAGTGTAAAATACTTCCATCCTGAACAGGTAGCATGGTACACCCACTTCGCACTGATGTAAATGACTATACAAAGTGCAGGGCAATGATGAATGAGGCCCAGAAAGACACTCTGTGAAATAATGGGCTATTGCTATATTATCCTAAAGGTTCACCTGAAAGACTAAAAATCCGCAATGTAAAAAAATAAAAAAAAAAGGAAACAAAAACTAATTTTAGCAACAGTGCTGCAAATAGAAAGGGTTAAATTCATTCAATGTAAGTGGCCAGCATAAGGCCCTGTGCACTCATAAATTACACTTTAGGCCTATTAAAAAAGTAGAACTTTTAGGTGTGGTTTTATCTTTAAAAAGGACTTTGTAAAAATGTCATTGCTGGGGAGAAGGTTGGGAGGAGGGAATTTATTTAAACTGTCTCACTATTTTTAGATCACAGTTATTTCATTTGCCAAAGTAAAAGATGTTTTTTTCCTAACTACCAGCCCCCAACTTACCCCGAGATTTGAAAGTCAGTTTGGGGCTTTCTGTTTCATGCACTACTGCTTGTAATAGAACAACTGCAGACCAAGTTGTGCCCCCAGATGAACCTGTGCAATCCTGTTGTCTTCAAACCATGCCTTCACTGAACAACTCACTATGGGAAATCAGTGAAATACAGTGGAGTCCCATAATGCCAAGTTTATATTCAGCTTTAAAGTGTAGACTGTGGCACTGACTGAAATTACTTGGTTAGCCAATTATTAGGCTGCAATATTTTAATCTTCTCAAAGCCATGAGATGGTCATATTTTTTCATTACTGGTAATGGTTGGCTTCCTTTGCCCCATAGGAGACCATAGCAATCAGTGTCCTGCTGGGTTTGGTCTGAACTCTACTGGGCCCTACTGTTCAGGTAAGGAAATGAAAACGAACACAAAAATATAATCAAATACACAGCACACAGGTTGCTTTTGTACCATGTTATTGAATGCGGTACATACAGAGTATGAATCACTTTTAAAATTTAACTGCTCAGTCCTATAGATCTAACTCAAGCAGAATGCCAAATGGACAACAATATCAGACCCTATCTTTGTAAGTGAAACTGTCTCTTAAAAATAGAATCTTAACTTGAACAACAAATATCTACTACATACACATACTTTTCACTCCTTCAGATTCCAGTGAAGATGTCAAACTCTAAAGAAATACAAAGAGACCTTTAAGAAACATTTGACTTGAACGGAAACTTTTTAAGGCTGTTGTTTTCTGCTGCACAGATCAATTCAAACCATGTCAATTGTCTTGACTGGCTTCCTAAAATACAGTGGGCCTGATTCTCTGCTGCAGTATACTCCAGTGTAGCTTTACTGAATTTAATTGGCTTTCACTAAAGTCAAACAGGTGCAACACAAGGAAGAACCAGGCCTTATGTGATTAGCATGCTGGCCTGATTTGGGAGTAATATAGAGATGCTTTACTTTCAGGGGTATCCTACAAGGGATTATATGACAGGTAGAACCCTACAGTTAGCGTGGGGTCAGCTTGCTGTCCCTGGCCATTGTACAAGAGCATAAAGAGGGAGAAAACACTTTGTACCCTCTGTGAACCCATAGAAAGGCCAGGGAGAGTCTTGTCCTGTTCTATCACTGAGACACAAATGGAATCCCATAGGTTCTTGTAAAATTGTTCACTTTTATTTTTTAGATGAAGATGAATGTGCAGTGCGAAACCCTTGTTCTCATGCATGTCATAATGCTATAGGAACCTATTACTGCTCCTGCCCCAGGGGCCTCACTATATCAGCAGATGGAAGAACGTGTCAGGGTAAGCCAGACTTCAAATGACATGCACAGACTGGACACAAGACTTTTTGCCACTAACATAAGAACATAAAATGTACTGATGGCATTCATACGTTATACCAGAATGGTTTATTATTTCCTAAGGTGCAAAATATTTTCATTTACTGAACAAATTTTTTATTGTTTGCACTTTATTGTAGATATTGATGAATGTGCATTAGGTGGACATACCTGTCATGCTGCTCAGGAATGTGAGAATATCATTGGCTCCTATCGTTGTGTGGTTAGGTGTGGAATTGGCTTTAGAAGAACATCTGATGGATTGAGCTGTCAAGGTGTGCAGCACTCTGACCTTAGTGCTAATGAACTGACACTACTTTTATTTAAGCCATGTTTGTAAGTAACTTTCCCAAGAATGTCTTGGCTCTCTGGGAATAAGCTTCCTACTGATTCCTGATATCCACTTATACAGAGGTGTTCTTGGATCATTCTGGTAAGTGACACTTTATCAGTGACATTTTACTGTCTACATCTTCTTAAAGGAAAAATCCTACCCAGAACAAAATAACATTCTTGTTGCTGAGTCCAGTATGTGTTTTCCTTTGTTATGTAGTGAGGTAAGCATACTTTCCTGTATTTATATCAGAAATTTTCACTCCTATGTCACTGTGCGGTTCTTTCTCATGTAACAATCACTTGCCTGACTACTTGTGGAGGGCAATATGTGAAAAGGAGAAGGATAAGATCTTAGATCAAAGCAGAGCCTACAACATAAAATATACCAAAGCACAATTTGTTGCAAATTATTACAAGATCCACAGCTATAACATTTAAGGCTTTGCATTATTCAACAGATGTTAATGAATGCCAAGAGTTCAACTCCTGTCATCAGCGCTGCTTCAATACCATAGGAAGTTTCCACTGTGGCTGTGACCCAGGATATCAGCTAAAAGGCAGAAAATGCATGGGTATGAAATGAACTATAGAGTCAGGGGAATGGATTTCAATGTAATGTGTTAACATGATTCAAATGAAATTCCCTATAGAAGATTTATGGTATATGCAAAAACAAAGAATCCCCTGCTTTGTTGGATCCCTTTCTAAATCACGGGAAGCAAGCTTTAACATTTTTTGTGTGGGCTTGCACACAAGTGGAAATGGATTAATGGGCAGAGTGCAAGGGAAACTGTCAAATGTGCTTGATACACGCATACAGACTGTATACACACATTTTCAAAGGGCTGGTCTACACTTGGGGGGGATCGATCTAAGATACGTAACTTGCTGAAGTCAAAGTATCTTAGATCGAATTACCTGGGGTCCACATGGCGCGGGATTGACGGCCACGACTCCCCCGTTGACTGCGCTACCGCCGCTCGCGCTGGTGGAGTTCCGGAGTCGATGGTGAGCGCGTTCGGGGATCGATATATCGCGTCTTAACGAGACACGATATATCGATCCCGGATAAATCGATTGCTACCCGCCGATATGGCGGGTAGTGAAGACGTACCCAAAGGTACTTACCTAGTATAATTAAATTGGGGTTGTCTTGGCCTTTGGGAATAGAGCATAAGAAAATCAGTTAGTAATTTAAATTCTTTTTTTTTAAATTAAGATGTAAATGAATGCAGGCAGAATGTATGCAGACCAGATCAGCACTGCAAGAACACACGTGGTGGTTATAAGTGCATTGACCTGTGTCCAAATGGAATGACCAAAGCAGAAAACGGAACATGCATTGGTGGGTACATTGGTTTATTTACCATATAATGATTCTAAAACAAAGGGCATGGCTAATATTTTCCAAAAATTGGTTCCTCAAAATACTCTAGCCACCTAAAGAAATGGCCTACATTTCAAAGGTGCTGCGCACCCAGCAGCACTGACTTCCCTTGGTTCAAGGGCATGCATACACTGTGATTTCTTGGTGAGAATTCATGTTAATTAGTGAGGGACATGTTACAAGTGGCAAGACTTTCTGTCACCCACAGGCTTTCATTGCCCCCCTGTGGACAAATGGCTGAAGGATGTGTTTGTTGCTCTTCTCTTTTTTTGAGGAAAAACTGTGGTTGGACCCCTGAATTTCCTTTTCTCTCCCCTCCCCCTTCACTCTTAGTCCTAGAAAATTCATGTGAGTGTTGGAGGCTGGGATACTGTGCCCCTTTTGGATTTATATATGAACATCCTGCAGAATGTACCTGTTCTTCCTGAATATATTTTTAAGGTTTTTATAGAGAAATTACAAGTCCCTGTTGCTTATCAGGGTGCCTTTAATCATAACGAATGGAAGGGGCCTTGTCAAATCCCCAACTGACACCAGGGGGAGGCAGATTTCCACCTCAGTGTTTTGGATTTGGTAAGATTAAAAACCTGGTAATAATCATCTGGAAATTTATAAAAAGATTGAATTATATAGGTTTCAGAGTAGCAGCCGTGTTAGTCTGTATCCGCAAAAAGAACAGGAGTACTTGTGGCATCTTAGAGACTAACAAATTTATTAGAGCATAAGCTTTCGTGGGCTACAACCCACTTCTTCGGATGCATATAGAGTGAAACATTGAGGAGATATAGATGCAACTCAGCTGAAAGATTGCTTACGTCCATCTCCATTCCCAGTATAATCCAGACCCACCACCATCTGTCACACAGCTGGTGCAGACTGATATCCAGTCTTATTGTCATAGATGAGAAATGTATTATGTCCACCATGATCAGCTATTTTGTGAATACAGGACCAGATCCCTCCCTGGTGTAACTCTGTTCTTTATATTTAGAAAGAGAAAACCAGGGCTTCAGAAAAACATGACTGCGACTAATTACCTCTGTTCCCTTTAGATATTGACGAATGCAAAGATGGTACCCATCACTGCAGGTACAACCAGATTTGTGAGAATACACGAGGGAGCTACCATTGCATATGTCCAAGAGGGTATCGATCCCAGGGAGTTGGAAGACCCTGTCTGGGTATGTTGAGTGGAAACCAGTCTACAATAATACCATTCCATGTTCTCAATTACTGCTTTTGGCTCCTCTATGTATTGTAATAAACCTAGGGACATTATCCCTTTTGAAGGCTGTAGGCTATACAGTCTGTTGTTGGGTACTCAAAATCCCCTAAATTAAAATTAAATGTCTTTTCATTAAAAAGACTTCAAACAATTACTAATGACAGTTACTCTGTTAAAGCATTTAATTGTACCAGTGTACAGTGCTTTATCGGTCTTGTAGGGTGTATCTCATGTGTGCTGCAATATCCAGGCATTCTAGGGGACTGTAGGAAATCATGGCAGGTGTAACGCCGAATCTGTTTGCTTTAGTTAGTTTCTTTAACAATAAAGATGGGTATGTACATGCAGGCTGTACACTTGGGATCAGATTGGGTGATTTAGGCCTAGGTAGAGTATGGTTTGGAGTTGGCCCATCCTAGGGGAATTCCAGCAGGGATTGTGTGCTCGGAGGCATGATCCATCCTAGAACTCACTCTGTGAGCAAGAGTGTGCACATTTAACAGTCCCTTAGGATGATGCAGTGTGTTACAGCTGTGTACCCCTCTAGGTCTCCTAGTCAGCATGGAGGGAGCCCTGCTGCTTTCCTGCCTCTCACTCTCTCCCTAAAGGGAGAGGGAAGTCCCTACATTCACTGGACTACAGACACTGATTCTGTCTGGCTGTTGTGTATGGGGCACTATTTGTGGTAAAGGCTTCTTCCATAAATGGGCTCACCTTTCCCCCATGTACGCACAGGGCCAGGGGCAGTCTAGCCTCAAGTAAAAGAATTCTCACCATAACATTTTAATATCTTTAGCAGAGATATTTTAATGCAGTTTATTGGGCATGATTATAATGTCAGTTCAAGTGTATGAAACATTTCCACTGATATCAGTTCCTGGACTTCTACAGACCTTAGAATGGTAATAGGATCAATTTGATTCATGTTTTATATGGGATATTTAAAAATATGATAGCTTGTCTAGCTTATCAGTGAAACTATTGTGAAAATGTTGGTTCATCACTCACGGAACTCTAACGGGAGTTTCAGTTACTACTGTATGTCAAGTGTTGTCCATAGTAAGATGTATGATATGATATAAAGCTTGATAATTAAATGCTCAGTAACTGCTTTGGAAACTTAAGTTATTTGAAACAGAAAAGCCTAGATTCATTTTAATACCAAAAGAAAGGAGTGCTTTTTAGGGACTAATTCGAAAATTTAGTTTTACAAATTTAAAAGCTGATGTATTTTAGGTTTTTTTTTAATATTCTGATCAACACCTGATATTCATGTTGCATAATCAAAGGGATACTGTCTGGAATGCTTTGGTTTGCCATATGGTCAGTGCTCACCTGCACTCTAAGCATGGCTTTGGTGTAATGCAGAACTGTGACTTGTTGCTTTTAATTTTCTACTTTGTCATATATGCTGCTCCTGTAAAAATGGCTGCAATTTTTACTGGGTTTTTCGTTTTCATCATTTACATACCTTCATATATGTCTCATCTGTAACTCATTGCAAAGGATATAGCTTATTTTACAGACCAAAAACTGTTTTGCACAGGTAAGAAACCTTGAAACCTAACTTGTAAAAAATGCTGTATGTAAAGTAACTAACTGCACCAAGTTTCAAGATTTCTTTACCTATATGTTTTGTTTTTATTATATTTTGCCTCTTAATCACACATTAGAGGGTGCTGTCATGGTCTAGATCCTCACAGGTATAAATCAGTTAAGCTCCAATGAACCCAGTGGAGCTATGCAGATTTATACCGCTAAGGCTCTGATCTCATTTAAAAAATCCTTAGCTGTGTTGCTTAGAACACCTGAAAATAATGAAACTGGAAGAATGTTTTAAATCAAATATCTTCTCTGACATTTATATTGTCTATTTTTCTGCTTTTCATTCTGTTGGGAACAATGAAATTAACTAGTCAGTTTCATTTATTTATAGTTAACATCCTTTCTCACTGGTTCTCCTGCACTAGACACTAGAGTAATACTGCAAACGAAGATTTAAATCCCAATCTCAAACTATAACATTTTTTAAGAATTTCAGAGAAAACAAACACATTTTTTTATCCTATGAGATTTTGTAAACACTTTTTGTACACCCTACCTTCTTGACTTACATTTCTGGACAATGTCCCTTTTAAAAGACTAGCATCACTGCTTTCTGTCTGAGGGTTAAGAGCTGTATAACTCCAAAAGGGACCAAAATGACACCTTTTAGCAATATTTCATGTTATTTTGAAGATTGACATGTGATTTTATGTAAATTAAAATTACATGTATTTTACAAAGTTTATTATAACTTGTTTGATAAATTTAAAAAAACCTCTTTAAATAATGGAGGGACATAGAAGAAGTTTAATAGAGTTTTGTTATGGCTACGGATCTTAATCTCAGTCAGTTCTATTCATTCTGAGGGTTTAGAGATGAACATGTTAACAGATGTCTTAAGAAATATAGTATTAGCTAAATAAATAAATAAAAAAACAACAACCAGAAACAAGTCTTTAAAACAAAAGTCATTCCCCCATTACATTCTTTTCCTTTTTAGCATTTTGCTCCTTTATTGTCTCTTTGGCACACCATCCATAACAACACTAACGAACAAAGAGCAGTTGCTGAGGACTTCCTTATAAAAGATGTGATATCATCCAGCAGTCACTGTCTTGTTTTACTCTTAATTGCCAAGTTACTTTAAACATGCAGTCTGAGATTACTTTAGCAATGGCACCTAGAAAACTTGTGACCGAATTTATGCTTTATAGCCTGGAGTGAAAGTAACTTAAAGGACTTACTGGTACTCCGGAGTCCTGAGCAGGGTGTGGCCTCAATTGGAAGAGGCGGGGCCTTTCAAGATTTAAAGGCCCTGGGGCTCCGGCAGTGGCTGGGAGCCCCAGGACCTTTAAATCACCCCGGAGCTACCAGCTGCAGAGGTGGCTGGGAGCCCCGGGGCGAATTAAAGGGCCCAGGGCTCTGGCTGCTGCAGAGCTCTGGGCCCTTTAAATCACCACGGGAGCCCTGCTGCTGCTACCCCGGGACGGCAGGGCTCGGGCTAGGGCTGGGGTAGTGGCAGCAGGGCTCCGGCGGTGATTTAAAAGGCCCAGGGCTCTGGCCACTGTGGGGAGCCCCAGGCCCTTTAAATTGCCCCCGGAGCCCTGCCGCTGCTGGGGTAGCAGCGGCAGGGCTCCAGCGGTGATTTAAAGGACCCAGAGCTCCGGCTGCTGCAGGGAGCCCCGGGCCCTTTAAATCTCTGCCCGAGCCCGGCTGCCGGAGCTCCAGTGGTGATTTAAAGGGCCCGGGGCTCCCCACAGCGGCTGGATCCCTGGGCCCTTTAAATCACCACTGGAGAAGCTGGTCCAGTCCAGCACGGCGTACCGGCCCGTACCAGCTTACTTTTACCTCTGTTTGTGGCTCCAGTCAGTGTTGTTAAGACTCCAAACCCCGATCCTTCAAGTATGTGAGTTTCTATTATATCAAATAAATCGCTAGTACATTCCCTCCCCGCTTTTTAAGCCATTCTTCAAGAACATTTATATTGATTGAAAGTCATCCAAAAAAGGTGAAAAGTTCCTGAAATGTTCCTAATTTTAATACTATTGAAAAACCAGAGCACCTCCCCTAAAATTATAGAAGTGTAGGACTGGAAAGGACCTCAATAAGTCATCCAGTCCAGTCCCCTGTGCTTAAGGGATCTCTGCCTACCACAAATATTATTTAATTGAAAATTTTAGTTGTTGGGTGTGTAGGTGTCAGAATTACAACTCATATGTCCACATTGGGGGGGAGGCATAACTCAGGGGTTTGAGCATTGGCCTGCTAAACCCAGGGTTGTGAGTTCAATCCCTGAAGGGGCCATTTAGGGATGGGGGTCAAAAATCTGCCTGGGGATTAGTCCTGCTTTGAGCAGGGGGTCGGATTAGATGACCTCCTGAGATCCTTTCCAACCCTGATATTCTATGATTAAAGAATGTGGATGTTTCTTCCATTCTCAGGGTGGGGGAACAAACTTTGGGCCTGATCCTGCAACTCATCACTCTGCTGCATCAGGACCTTTATAGTACTTCATGTGCTCCTGTAAAACTATTAATCCTAAAAGAAAATGGTAACGTTTTGACTAGGATTGGATTTTGGATCTTATTAAAAACTGACCAGAACTTTTACTGATCCTGAACCCAAACTGAATTTTTTGTCAAGCTTAGAAATCGGACAATTATTTCATAATGAGCTCTTCAGTCTAGCCGATATAAGTATAACATAATCCACTGGTTGGAAGTTGAAGCTAGACAAGTTCACTGGAAATAAGGAGAAAAAATTTAACAGTGAGGGTAATTAACCATTGGAATAATTTACCCAAGGTTTGTAGCAGATTCTTCATCACGGCCAATTTCTAAATCAAGATTGGATGCTTAGTAAAAGATGTGCTGTAGGAATTATTTTTGGAAAGTTCTATGGCTGACTAGATCAGGAGGTCTGACTAGATCAGGGGTGGGCAAACTATGGCCCGCGGGCCGGATCCAGCCTGCCAGCCATTTTAATCTGGTCCTCGAGCTCCCGCCGGGGAGCAGGGTTTAGGGCTTGCCCCGCTCTGGCGCTCCAGCCAGGGAGCAGGGTCAGGGGCCGCTCCGCGTGACTCCTGGAAGCAGTGGCGTGGCCCACCTCCGGCTCCTACGCTTAGGGGCAGCCAGGGGACTCCGCTTCACACACTGCGCCTACCCCAAGCACCGCCCCCCATCAGCTGGGAACCGCGGCCAATGGGAGCTGCAGGGCCGGCGCCTGCGAACGGGGCAGCGCACAGCAAAGCCGCCTGGCCGCGCCTCCACATAGGAGCCAGAGGGGGGACATACTGCTGCTTCTGGGATCTGCTTGAGGTAAGCACCACCTGGATCCTGCACCCCTGAGCCACCCCTCCATGCCCCAGCCCTGATCCCCCTCCTGCCCTCCGAACCCCTCGGTCCCAGCCCAGAGCACCCTCCTACATGACAAACCCCTCTGCCCCAGCTGGAACCCTACCCCCCCCGCCCGGAGCCCCTTCCTGCACCCTGAATTCCTCATTTCTGGCCCCACCCCGGAGCCTGCACCCCCAATCAGAGCCCTCACCCCCCCACACACCCAAACCCCAATTTTCATGAGCATACATGGCCCACCATATAATTTTTATACCCAGATGTGGCCCTCAGACCAAAAGTTTGCCCACCCCTGGACTAGATGATCACAGTGGTCCCTTCTGGCCTTGGAATCTATGTACATAAAAAGTACTAAATGCAAAAAAGTTGATTCTTCCTGATTCCACCCAGAAGTGGAAGTGCCCAAACAATGCCCAGAGAGTCTGTTGTGAGATTCTTGCTCTGCAGACCTGAATTCTTTGTATAATTCAGAGAAAATTCACAAACTAAAAGCTTGGATTCTTACTCAAATGGAACTAAACCTCCGGACTTTTTGAAGGGTCAACGATCATTATCACTCACCCTAGCATGAAAATTCAGTATTACAGCCCAGAAATCTCAGTAACTTATCTCCTTCTACCTCAGTATCACAGAATGTAGAATGGACCTCATCTTCCCCTGTTACTAGAAATAGTGCTGTTACCAAGGATACACAACATATATTAGTGCCTCTTGGATTTTTCCACATGCCTTTTGGGGGTAGAATCCTTACAGCTCCTTTCTCCTTTATTTACTCCCAAGGCACCAGAAGAACAGAGTAGTCTTACATGGAAAGGAGAGCTGGACACAATTTCCCCCATAGCCTATCAATGCTGCTCGTGGAGCATCCAGAAAGAGTCTAAGAAATAAACCTGAAATTACCAACAGTATGGGATTTTTAGTATGGGAAAAATCAACGTTCAGTAAAGTCTGGGGTTTTAAATTTGACTTTCAGATAACTTCAGTCACTATAGCAGTGATACTCAGACCTCAGTGGTTCAGGAGGCAAATTAGTGATCAACATTACCCAAAAGAGCCACAGTCGTGTGAATTCATTGTTTAATTTACTAGAGTACTATCATATTTAAACAGTATGATGGGAGATATTTAGTTTATATATAATTCTCACAGCAAATAAGTTAGTGCAAGTTGATAACTTAATTGGTTAATAACATAGTAAAAGCATCCTGATTGTGTGATTTAATTATTACCCAGTGTTTTAATATGTGCTGCAAAGAGCTGCAGCAGACACATTAAAGAGCCATTTGTGGCTCACAAGCTGCAGTCTGAGTATCACTACCCTATAGGACTCACTCAGCCCTTGCAAGCATGGAGTGAAAGGAATAAACACAGATTCCCCCCATTTCACAGCCACCTCATCCCTCAGACGTATCGTGTGCTAATCCTTAAAGGGATTTAATCCACACAGGATAAAAACTGAGTGCTACAGTCTCATGTCCTAACCACTTTCATGGGAAGAGTAAGATAGATTACTGTACATGGCAAAATAATGTACCCACTTTTTTTTAGCATTGGGCTCTGTATATTTTACTGACTTCAGGATCTCATTTATGTCCTCGGTTTGCTCCAAAGACTGATGTATTTTTTTCTGTATGTGTGTGTGTTTTTTTTCTCCCTTTTTTTATGGTTTGTTGCTCTGGATCATGTCACATGAGCAGACATTAATGAATGTGAACAAGTGCCTAAACCGTGTGCATTTCAATGTGCCAACACCCCCGGCAGCTTCAAGTGTATCTGTCCACCTGGACAACATTTATTAGGTGATGGGAAATCTTGCGCTGGATTGGAGAGGTTGCCAAATTATGGCACCTATTACAATAACTATAACTATGCTCAATTCTCCCCTGTGAGAGACAACTATCAACCTCAACAGTATTACAGGCCCGCCTCAGATCTCTACAGCTCCTACTCAGAGTATAGAAACAGCAGAATACCTCTCTCCAGGACTAGAAGGAATATTAGAGAAACTTGCCCTGGAGGCTATGAGGCACGAAATGACAAATGTATAGGTAAATGTCAGCCATGTCTATCCAATTCTTTTGTCTTCACATATTGAGCTTTCTTGTCGCTGGCTTCGAAGCATGATGGTGTAGGGTGCCATACATTTTTTACTGCCATGATGTATTTTCAATGAGTTATGTATGTTTTTCCAAAGAGGTGCTAGTAAATTTTTTGTGGAAGCCCTCCCCACCCACACCCCTCATATTTTGTTTGTCAGTTGCTGTATATTCTCAAACTGATAATGTTTTACTATATTTCCCTTCTGTGGGTATTAGCCTCCCTCTGACTTTTTTCCCTTTGAAAACCAATAGTCACTATGCATCCAGTTCTGAAAATCTTACTCACATCAGACTCCCTTTGACTTCAGCGAGAATTTGGCCTGAGTAGATTCTGAATAATGATTTCTGGACTGGACACTGTGGAAACAATAGCTTCATTAGTATGGGCAGAGGCTAGTCACATATGTAAGTGCAGCATAAACACACACTTTAGAATGGTTTGAAATGGATACCATAGTTTGTGAAACATAGAAGTGACAGCACTCCCTGCAACCCACCGAACATATCAGACAAACAAGATGCTCTGCAAAAGGTCAGAAAGACAGAATTGCCCTTTCTCTGTATGTGGGAGTAAGGAGACATGGGTTTTCTTTGTGATTGGCCCACTCTGTGACTGTAGGCATGTCACCAATGGCCTGATTGTCAGATGTGCTGAGAAACTACAGATTCCACTGAGGTCAATGTGAACTGCAGGTGATTTGCACCTCAGAAAACCAAGCCCTTTGCCCATCTACAGTTCAGTTGCCCCATCTGTGAAATCCAAGGAAGAAGGGCTAGGTGTTTTCAGCATTACTGTTGTTTATTATTACAAGCCTAATTCTGCTCCCATGGAAATCAAAGACCCCTTAGCACATGTTGTTGACTGATTTATTTTAGGGCAATAGGATTCATCTCTTCATGTTTAGCAGTTAAGAGTTTCAGGCATCTTTCCTAAGGCAATCTTTATTGGCAGTGGACGAGCACTACCCAAACCCTCTAATGTCTAGGCTGCAGTGAAAATGACCAGCAGACAACAGGCAAGAAAGAAGGCTGGGGACTGGAATACACATCAGCGCCACTCTTGTGCATGTTTTGTTTCTGTATCAGACAAGCAAATAATAAATATGGGCAGAATTGCATTGGGGAACAAGGGGACTGGGATGACCTTTAAGCAGACACTCACTTTAATTTTCAAAAAGAGAGTGAGCAGCATGACAACTAGCAAAGGACATGAGTGAATTTAATCTTTATCAAATATGCTTTAAAGCCAGATGCTTTCACCCTTACTCCTCGGGTGCTCTTATTGACTTCAATGGGATATTCAGTCATATTACATAAGGTACTATTCATGGTGAGGAAGTCTGGCCCTCACTATAACTTTCCTGAATGCATTTAATAGAAAAGTCTATGCTGCTTTAGATAATCTGCACATACTGCCATAGAGGCTAATGATGCACATCATAGGCACAACATGCTCACAAGATAGCTACTAATCCTCATGTAGTATATTCTAGTCCAGTGGTCGGCAACCTTTCAGAAGTGGTGTGCTGAGTCTTCATTTATTCACTCCGATTTAAGGTTTCGCGTGCCAGTAATACATTTTAACATTTTTAGAAGGTCTCTTTCTATAAGTCTATAATATATAACTAAGCTATTGTTGTATGGAAAGTAAATAAGGTTTTAAAAATGTTTAAGAAGCTTCATTTAAAATTAATTTAAAATGCAGAGCCCCCCAGACCGGTGGCCAGGCCCAGGCAGTGTGAGTGCCACCGAAAATCAGCTCACGTGCCACCTTTGGCACGCGTGCCATAGGTTGCCTACCCCTGTTTTAGTCGCAGAAGACTTAATAATTAATGCTAATAAACATATGTTGCAGTCATGCGGACCTTAACCAAACTTGTACTGACTTCTGATAGTTTTCTAGTTAGCACCGTTTATTGTGGACACAACTATTTTAGTCAAAGATTCTCAGTCTAAAGATTTAAATTGATCTTTTGGGCCCTGATCCAGCTCCCATTGAAGTCAGCAGGAGATGGGAGATAGGGTCCATTGTAAAGGATCCAGTTCTTCAGGTAATATACTTATAGTCATTTCAGTAGAACTGAAATTTAGATTTTTAAACTCATTTCTTCCATAGTCTAAGCTGGAAATGATATAATCCACGAGACTCCTTTCCCAAGAGAGGGAGAAAAGTTAAGATTTGGTTAAGATACACACCCTGGGAATTACAATTACAAATCCCTTTCACCATTTTGTGTTGAATTTTATGTAAAGAACGATGTGTGAGACAGGTGGGGGAGTGGGAATGTGAATAGATGTTCCTCCCAAATGTAAACCACACAAGGCCTGAGCTAGTGTAAGTTTAACTTGAGTAAGGACTTACTACCCTAATAAGTGGAGGTTTTCAAGCAGTTTAAGGAATTAGAATTAAGGAAGGTCTGTGTCTAAATCCCCCAGCCTGCTTGGAAAATCTTAACCTGTTGCATTATTTTGGAGCTATAAAAAGTCTACAATGAGCATAGACTACTTTTCTGACTGTCTTACCAGATATTGAGCTTAAGTCCCACCTTGGCAAGGGAGGCAGAAACTTGTGAGGGAGGCTGTTGCACATCAGGAGGGATTCACTCTTTGGAAAGCTTTAAATTGGTACAGCAACTCCCATAAGTGGAAGCTTCCACTGGCAATGTGCCAAATCAGTGCATTTCCTGGGTACCCTGACTCAGTCCTCTCCTCAGCCAGCTCCCCCTACTGTCTGGGGAAGGTTTGACTGGCTGTGGGCCCTACAGCAGACCACGTGTTGTAGGCAATTTGCCCCATGGTATTCCCCTCTTTCTTCTCCCCAGACTCTGCTTTCCAGCACTAGATGCCAGCAGCCTGGCCTCTCCCTGTGGAATGTATAATACTCATGTTGAGAAAACTTATATCAGAAAGAGGTGAGGGTCTGACAGGTTGGGTCACAGAGACCCCCTTGGGACTGCCACCTGATGTGCTGCCATTTTCTCTGCCAGTTTGGGCCTCCAGAACCCTGCCTTGTTGAGCCAGACACGCCAGTCTGCTCCAACGCAGACCCAGAGTCTGAACCATGTGCCCCAAAGCTGCAGACTTAACTGAAAACAAAAGTGCTCTTGTCTCTAGCACCCAGACACCCAGCTCCCAATGGGATCCAAACCTCAAATAAATACATTTTATTCTGTATAAAGCTTATACAGGGTAAACTCATAAATTGTCCGCCCTCTATAACACTGCTAGAGAGATATGCACAGCTGTTTGCTCCCCCAGGTATTAATCACTCACTCTGGGTTCAATAATAAGCAAAAGTGATTTTATTAAGTATAACAAGTAGGATTTAAGTGGTTCCAAGTAATAACAGACAGAACAAAGTAAGTTACAGGGTGGATAAAAATCAATGATTTACAAAAAAAAAATCTAAAAAAATCGGATTTTTTTATTTAAATCGGATTTTTTTGATAAAATGCTTTTTGAGGAAAAAACCTATCTCAAGATGTATTTTAATTAAAATACATTATAGCTCAAAGATATCTCATGATGGAATAGGGATTATAAATTCTAATTCTATAGTATGAGACAATATATTCATGTAATGTTTAAGAAAAGTTTTGTAAATGAGTTCCAATAGTTCATGGATTAGGGACCCAATCTTATGGGAGTCCAAGGGCTTCTGTAGAGATTATAGAAGCCAATATTTTAAGTTTCTCATGTTGACCTGGCTGACATAGTCGATTTAATTTTTTTTTAAATTGCATTTCACTTATTTAGTTAAAAACAATTTTAACAAAAACAAACCTGATTTTAAAAAACTTGAATGTTTAACTAAATCAAAAAATGCATATGCTTGTTTTGTTAAAATATTATATGTTTGCTGTTGAAGAAAAAAATCCAGAATACATAACATTGTTGTTCTAGTTAAATAAAACAATTTAAATGTCTGTCTGGTGATGTTCTCCTCCTAATACAGCATGGCAAGAAAATCCTCCAATGTTGATTAACCTGTTGAATTGGAGATAATTCACCTCTCAATAACTTCATAAATATCTGCTTCAGTTACCTTTGCTAATTAAAATAACCAAACAATCATTCATTTTCTGATATAGCTGTAAAACTAATCTGAAAAGTTTTCAAAATAAATCACTTTAAAAATGTATAGTGTGTACCTTCTAAAAATGAAACCTACATCTATCTTTGAGTTGTGAAGAATATGCATTAAGGTTATAACAACCAATAAAAATGCACTTTTATGTAGAAATCCATGATTAAATCGAGTCTTCCTGACTAGTGATTTAAATCAAATCCACCCTGGTAAGTTACCAAGCAAAATAAAACAAAACCACGCAAGTCTAAGCCTAATACATTAAGAAACTGATTACAGATAAATCTCATCCTCAGAGCTGTTCCAATAAGCTTCTTTCATAGCCTAGACTTCTTTCTAGTCTGGGCCCAATCCTTTCCTCTGGTACAGTCCTTGTTCCAGCTCAGGTGGTAGCTAGGGGATTTCTCATGACTGCCTCCTTTGTTCTGTTCCACCCCCTTTTATAGCTTTGGCACAAGGTGGGAATCTTTTGTCTCTCTGGGTCCCCACCCCTCCTTCTAAACGGAAAAGCACCAGGTTTAAGATGGATTCCAGTACCAAGTGACATGGTCACAGGTCCTGGGTGACCCCAAGCCTTCAATCTTCCTGGCCTGACTCACAGGAAGGCTTGCAAGTAAACAGAGCCATTTACAACCAATTGTCCTAATTGATGGGAGCCATCAAGATTCCAAACCTCCCAAAGTGTGGGACTTTGCATAATTACAATAGGACCTCAGGGTTATATTTCATATTTCTAGTTTTAGATACAAGAATGATACATTTATACAAATAGGATGATCACACTCCGTAGATTATGAGCTTTGTAATGATACCTTACAAGAGACCTTTTGCATGAAGCATATCCCAGTTACATTATATTCACTTATCATATTTTTATAAAACCATATAGACTGCACAACATCACAATTATATTCACACTCATTAGCATATTTTCATAGAATCATGTGGAGTGCAATGTCACAGAGGGATCCCTAAGAGCTAATATATGATTATTAATCACTTAGGAATTGAGGCCAGACCTGCAAAATGTCTGCCCAAAAGTAAAAATTGAGAAATTATGAGCAACTGAATACATGTATTTTGAATGGAAAAGATTTCTCAGACTTGCTAGATGGCCATTCCATGACACTACGAGATCCTGAAACTTCCCAAGCAGCTCAGAATGTGTACTGCATACAGATGGAGATTAATCACTCAAAGGTTTTTGTATTAGTATACTGTCTGGGGAAGTTTCTGCACACAGAGATCAGACCAGTCTGATCTGGTTAGCAAAAAGACAGAGATCAGTCTGCTTCAGTATTTGAATATCTATATTTTCATGCTTTTTTTGCAGATATTGATGAATGTGAAAACAGAGATGCCTGTCAGCATGAGTGTAGAAACACCCTAGGAAGTTATCAGTGTGTTTGTCCAACTGGTTATCGTCTTATGCCCAATGGCAAAACATGCCAAGGTAAGTAAATATCTCTCCAGATCTGTGTGTATGTGGAGAATACATAGATGGAGTATTTTTTAATTTGTTTCCTATCAACAAACGTGCCATTCTATTGCAACTGCAGCTAGATATAGACTCAAGCCCCAAAACTCAGGTCTAACTTTCAAACATCCCAAAGTGCAGGGGCTCTTAGTCTTGGGGATTTAGTTCAGTCCGTTATAAAGCCATTTGTGAAATTCAGATATGGCTTCAGATTTCAATATATCCCAGATTTGGGTTGTTTGAAGCTGGGAGTTTGGCTCCATTTCTACTTGTGACCTTCAGTGTATCGACTAGTTGTATATCAGGAAATAACCCCTGAATTGAACAATTTTTAAATATGAGAGAAGAGACAAAGAAAGCAACGTAAAGAGCAGTGCTTTAGAGCACAGCATGGGGACGGGGGGATGGACACTCCTTTGGGCTGCATTAGATTGGGTAAACCACCTCAGATAAAGTAAGACTTTGCTGAAAACTAGAAACAAACCTTTTCTAAACTACTCTATGCTTACTGTGAGGGTGGCAAAGCTAGATCACAGACCAAGATGCTATGATGAAAACACAGGCCACCGTGGACTTATCTCCTCCTCACTTCAGAGCCTCCACTGGCCTCATCATCTGTTTGATTTGTACTTTTTGCCTATCTGGGCACAATTTTGAAATAAAAAATGGTGCTCAGCAAGGAAACAATACAGGCAATTTCAGGGTTGATTTAAATCAAAGCTACTTAAATCACTGATTTTAATCATGATTTAAATCAACAAGCAGAAAACCTTCATTTATATATATTCCAATGGGAGTTTGTCATCTTTAAAGATGCTGAAATATTTGTTACAAAACAGCTGCTGTTCCCTACAAGGGATGACATAAGAATTTCACACTTTCAAGTCTAAAACTGAACTCAAAACATGCAAAAAGGGTGGGTTGTTTTTGTTTTTGTTATATAGGGTTACCATATTTCCACAAGCAAAAAAGAGGACACGGGGGGGGGGGAGGAGCCCCGCTCTAGCCCCGCCCCTGTCCCACCCCATCCACTCCCTCCCACTTCCCACCCCCTGATTGCCCCCCTCAGAACCCCCAACCCCCCCCCGCTCCTTGTCCCCTGACTGCCCCCTCCTGGGACCCCTGCCACTAACTGCCCCCTAGGACCCCACCGCTTATCTAAGCCGCCCTGCTTCTTGTCCCCTGACTGCCCCCTCCTGAGAACGCCCTACGACCCTACCTGTCCCCTGACTGCCC